CTCACAATGTCACTTGAATTGGAAATAAGGTTTGTGCAGATATAAGTAATCAATTGAGATGAGATCCTACTGGATTAGGGTGGACCCCAAATCAATGAGGGGGTCCTTATAAGAGACAGAAACGGACCCAGACACACGGAGAGAAGGCCATATGAAGATGAAAGCAGAGATTGGAGTGATGCATCTACAAGCCAAGGAATGCCAAGGCTTGTTGGCAGCCACCATAAGCTAGAAGAGAGGCGTGGAACGGATTCTCCCTGCGGTCTTCTAGAAGGAACAAACACTGGCGACACCTTAATGTCGAACCTGTGGTCTCCAGAACTGAGAGAAAAAGCATTTTAAGACACCCAGTTTGTGGTTTTATTTTGCTTTATTTATTTATTTTTTTAGTGTCTTAATGTGGAAGCTTAGAATATCAATTTGAAACCTTTCTTCTATTCCAATAAAAACCTTAATGCCATAAGCTCCCCTAGAACAGGGGTTGGCAAACGTTTTGACTCAAGGGCCACAATGGGTTCTTAAACTGGACCGGAGGGCCGGAACAAAAGCATGGATGAAGTGTTTGTGTGAACTAATATAAATTCAAAGTAAACATCATTACATAGAAGGGTTTGGTTTTTTTTTTTTTTTTTTAGTTTTATTCATTTCAAACGGGCCGTAGTTTGCCCACGGCTGCCCTAGAAGCACTATGTTGTATATTCGTTTTTGTTCAGCTGGAAATATTTTCTAATTTCCTTTGAGACTTTCTTTTTGACCCAAAAATTATTTAGAAGTGTGCTCTGTGCTATTTAATTTCCAAATACGTAGATATTTTCCTGTTATTGATTTTTGTTTAATTTCATTATTGTCAGATAACATTTTATATGTTTTCCATCTTTAACATTTGTTAAGATGTGTTTTTAGGACACAGGATATGGCCTATCTTGTAGAAAGTTCCGTGGATGCATGGAACTTTGAGGAGAGGGGGTTTGCCACAGGATCGTTGGGAATCGTACAATTATCAGTTAGATTCAGGTCGAGTGATGTCTGGAGAACTGCAGGGGATACAAATGATAAACTCACAATTCTGTGGTACTTTGAATTCTCGTTTTCTTCAATGACGGCTGCTATGTACTTTTTCAGGGCCCTCAAATAGCGGCTCCATGCAGTCTACCAGGTTTTGTAGTTACATTCAGTGGGAGACAGGGTGGAGTGTGCTTTCTCCACAGTACTTGGAACCAGACTTGTGGCTAACCTTTTATCCAGTAATCATCTTTGGAGCAGCTGCTCTTCTTAGGAGATAATCCAGAAGAACTATGCATGTGCATGATTTCATAATAGTAATATGAAAACAACCTATATGGCCCAAATGGGAAAGTAGTAAATGTGTTGATACAATAGAATTTAATTTAGGTCTTTAAGATTATAAGTATGGTAGATATATATACCATATATTTATATTAAATATA